AGGCGCGAGCTTATAGAGGGCACGTTAAGGGACAAGGTCGAGCGATGACTACGAGCGGACGCAGGGGGGGTCAAGCCGTTAGCAGAACCCGCTCGCGGACTTAGCAGCGGCGAAGGTTGTCTCGATCGATCGGTCCGCGGGGAGGATTGCGAAGGTTGACGCTGGCTCGAGGTTGAAGCTGAAGCCACAGTCGGACCGAAGGGACTCGGGCCAGGGGCGACGTTCTTGAAGGTGATGTGACACCTGATCTCCTCGCCGGCAAACACAGTCTGGTCATCCCATCTGATAAAGACGCGGATATCGGTGGGGCGTGCTTCGGGCGGCATGGTGACACTCCTTCAGACGAAGGAGAGGGATCACGAGCGCAACCTCATCGTCGTCAATGGTCGAACCAACAAGAGTGAGGCTCGCGCTCGTAGCACGATGGGCGCGGTGGTAGTCGCGGTCGCAGCCGTGATAACTTAGCCCGGGCGGCTCCCAAAGCCACACCACTATACTACACAATACTACACAGTAGGTATTTGACCTGTGAGGCTATATAGTAGGTAGTGGTCTTCGTTGTGGTCGTGGATCTCTCCTTGTCGTTGTTCGTTGTTCTTTGATCGTTGGTCGTTGATCGTGGATCGTGGATCGAAGGTCGGAGGTCGGAGGAGGCCAGACTCGAGCCGGAATAGCCGCCTCCTATTCGGTGTTAATGGTGGCGTAATGTGTTAAGAGTACACTTATTAGCTTAGACAGACGATAGACCGTTGAAACTTTTCGAATGGTAAGGTGAATGCATATCAATTCATTAAGAAACAGATGCCATTTTATCCACAAGGCTTGGTTGAGGTAGCACCTAATTCAATTGATCTGGTGCTCAAGTACAAGTATGCTATGGGAACGGGGGAAGTGTTACGTACTTGTCGTCCCACGCCACGCGCGCGCAAGCTTGGGTTATTTGGTGTTACCTACGAAGGTTGGGGCCAGAAGTCAGCAATAGCCTGGACAATTGAATACAGTGCATTTAATTTACTGCTTACAGTAAGCTTTTCCTAATTAGGAAAGACCTTTAATTCTGTGCCAGACCGTTAGTAGCTCGGCAAGTTCTATTTCGGCTTAAGAACAGTCCGTCAAGTAGAAAATATATTCGAGTCAGGCCGCTAACAGTCTGGCACAAAATTAAAGATCTTTCCTAATTAGGAAAAGTTTACTGTAAGCAGTAAATTAAATGCACTGTATTCAATTGTCCAGGCTATTGCAGAGTTCGGACCCCAACCTTCGTACCTAGGTACCTTACGCCTTAGGGAGGTACCCACCTAGCGTACCTATTACACGCTGCTTGGCCACTCTAACTACATACATAGTAGGAGGTAGCCACCCTGCCCAGATAGATGGTACTTGGGTTGGCATCTACATATTTTAGTACCTATCTCGACTTCCTTAGATAGGTACCTAGTCCCAACGTCTCCTAAACAACAATATACCAGCATTCGACAAAGCTCTCTATCAAAAGAAGAGTTGCTTGTTTGACAAATACTAGACTAGATTACATATACCGGTATGTATATATATGTATATATGTAACAGGCATTCAGTTAGGTATTTACATTCCCGTCCAACATTAGAAAATTCATATGACAAAGACAGACTCCTCCCCGACCATAATATGTACAGATCTGTACTAGATGGGTTTATATACCCTCGGCTCCCTAATTCACCGCAGCCAATCTATCACAACGCTCTTAAGGAAAATAAATGAAGGAGTGTGGGCCATATACTATGAACACACCTGGTTGCCATATGCCTCTTTTTGAGCATTGGGCTTCGGTGCGGCCATGTGGTGTTGTTGAGTGTCGGTGGGCAACAGATTTTCTGCCTGGCCAGACGATCATCCTCTCACTCGCTGAGTTTTGATGCGAAGGTTGCCAGATAATCGCTTCCTCAGCTGTCTTCCAGCTCGTTGCAGTCCTCGGTAGGTCAGCACGGTTTTGAAAATGACCGCGCGGACCCAGTCCCGCTCCAGTCACACCTGATGTGCCTCATGGTACGAGTTTGAGACGCCTCCGCATCCGCCACACGGGATCGCCCTCCCATACGTGCACTTGTTGCATTTTCCGCAGTGCCATTCTTGTCGTTCGCTACAGCTCGCACAGCCTCTGCAGTGCCATACCTGTTCGCCCTGCTGCCAGCTTCCGATGCGCTCGCTATTGCCGTAACAGAATGAGAAAAACCAACCTCCGGGCTTATCGCTGAGCCCGAGTCCGAGACGTAGAAGCTGGCGCTGGAGCTCTTCCGTTCGTGCTTCCGGATCCGGTCCACTATAGGCCGTCTCCCATGTCGCTCGCCACGTGTCAATTGCCTTGTCGTTACCATCTGGCACATAGTCGAGACCGGACAGAAGATGTTCGAATAGATAGTCAAGCGTGATGACCCCATCTAGCTTGTGATTCTGCAAATAGGTGATAAAACATGGGCCGAGCTTCGTTGGATATCCAGAAGCATCGGTGCCGAGAATGTTGTCGAGGGCGATGTTGTTGAAGTTATTTTGGCATGTCTCGTCGCAACCACAAGATGCAATGCAGCCATGACCCTGGTTGCTGCAGGCACAGGTCTGGCAAAGGTGGGTAACTTGCTCCGATTCCGAGCCTTCATGCACGTGTTCGCACCTACAGCCCTTAGAAGAAGATGGTTCAGGGCCGTCCGTTTTCGTCTAATATTTTCAGTCAATTAAACTGTAGCTTGGCCGTCTGCACCGAAGCGTCCTGCCAACATGAAAGATTTTGAGAGTCTTTAGCTTACCTCAGTTGCTGGGGCATCGGGGATGTAGTCCGGGACATGGGCGAAGTCCTGGGTGTCCTCAGACTCTTCGATCTCCTCCGAAAACTCGACCCTTACTTCAGGGGTCGTTTCGGAACCAAAAACACGCTCATCAATGCTACCAACAACGCTACGCTCCTCGACCACTGCCAGATTTTCCTCGGTCGGCAAGGCCCATTCCTGCTCCCAACGCAGGAATTGTGGAGTTTCGTTGAACAGCCAGGAGTCATACCACCGCCCAACAGCTGGCCTGTGTCGGAATTCCTCGAAGAATTTCTGTCCTAACTCCTCCGTAAGACGCTCCAAGGTCGTTCGCATAGCGCGAACTATGCGCATCCGTTCCGCCTTATCGTGAGGGGACATAGCACTCTTCTTCGTCGCATGGACTTGTCTCATGAATCCACTTGATATATTGCCTTGCATATCGTCCACCAACGACTCCGAGATGAATTTGATCATCTGTTCATGAGCAGCTGGATCGTCGGCCGGAATCGCACTCCAGCTGACCGGGCGCGGTGCCGGCCCGTTTGGATGTAGTCGTCTCATCGTGCTGGCTCCAGACCCGTCCATTTTGTTTCCCAGTCAGTTGTGAATCTTACGATCGAGTAGTAGCCTGTAAGCGAATGGCGATCACGATTGCAAGTAAAGAAAGTAGGAATCCGCGATATATCGCGTCGAACGAAAGGAACAAGAGGGTAAACTACCCAATTCCCACTTTTTTACACCAAGGTCACCACGTTTAATACAACTTATCTTGTCTGATTACGGACTTACTCTCAGCATATTCTCGACACGTTCGCTATGATTTGTCAGGTGTGCTTCTATGATTAGTACTAGTCTCCCCCTGAGCCGATCCTTTTGACAGGGTACGATTATAGAAACAGTCAGCAAGGCAGGCTACCAAGGCCCTAGTCAGACGTCAAAACCACACCACGTCATTATTTCCACCTTAAAGCTGATCAGACGCCATCCTCATGAAGTTCTAGTCGAAGAGCTACCAAGAACAAATAAACTATATATAACGCCATATGAGGATGCTGTTGTTATAGGTGTGTCGTTGCAGTTAAGTTTCGCTCAACCCGGGCCAAGGGTTGCTTATTACTGGTAGGTAGTGTAAGCTACATTACTCCCCAGTGCGGCTGACAGGAAGTGGAATTACTATGTAGGACATGGGATGACCCTTTTGCCAGCTAATTTTTGCCGGAACTAGTGAATCACAGTACCAATGTGTCAAATATAGTGTCACTATGTTGCTGTCGGTTCAGTTGCCGTGGCTAAGCTTGGCTTGGCATCATCTGTTCTGTGGCCATCCTGTGTTTTCTGTCTGCCTTCGCGTAGGTATGGTGGCGTAAGACTACCTCTACTAGGCACAGATATAGGCGATCGGGAACTCCCGTAAGATCCGGCGGGCTGTACTACTAATGCTTAAATCCACACTGGTGGGTGCTTTTCATCCGTAACCCCAGCACTTAGTGTAGTTTTGACACTTATACGTACAGGTAACAGACTAGCGAATCCTGCAACGGTGGGACCATACAATATTAAGACCACGCTTTTGTCCTCGCATGGCAATGAGTACACGTGTAGGTCCAAGTCTTTAATAGCTTAAAATGGCCCAACAGACCTCGTGGCTTTCCCATACGGACGGCTCTCATCAAAAAGTCCCCATGCGAGAGGGGAAAAGCCAAGCATTCGTCCCTAGTCTCATTAATTGTAATAAAATACCTACTTAGATAAGAAGCTCACAAGTCATGAGACCCGAGGGAGGGATCCAATGTAACTCAGCAGGGTACCGAAGCTCTATCGAATCTGTTACTTATATGGCACCTACCAATGTAGACGTACCGTACCTTGCAACTTATTCAACCTAGGTATACTACCTATGTAGTATTTGATACCATTTGCTTCATACAGTCCAGATAGGTACAAATTATAGGAAGGCTTGCTACCAAGGTTAAGAAAATTATCCAGCACGAATCCAATTTCACGCTCCCAATAGACAACGAGCAGGCATGAAGATCGGGTAAGTATATACCTACGTAATGTAAGTACTATTTATTCATAATGTACTTACGTGTAGCGAGCTCGTCTACCTACCTAGTACTACGTATTGTTCTACGAAGGGCCCACTTATACCCACTCCCACACGTTTTCCCCCTCCGTGCCATGATAGCCAATACGCACCCCAAACTTCACCTAACGCCCGGTTAGCTCAATCGGTAGAGCGTGAGACTCTTAATCTCAAGGTTGCGGGTGAGTTGCGCTCAATGTGCAAAAAATACAAGAAATAATTCTGACTCTCCCGCCATAGGTTCGACCCCCGCATCGGGCTCAATTCCTGATGCCTCCTAGTATAACTAGGAGTAGCAACCCAATTTTTTTTCTCTTTTTAAAAAAAATTTTTTTTTTCGGTTACGGCATCTGATTTCACTAGATAGAAGGATATGGAAAAAAAATTGTCTCTTCCATTTTTCTCTTTTTTTCTTCTAAACTTCCCTTACTACCTAGCCTACTGCGTACTTAAGGTAGGTAGTTCCAGTTACTTGGCTTACATAGTAGGTAGTGAATATTCTCGTGCATACTGCAAGGTCTGTGCATCATTGGCACGTGGAAAACCCAGAGTAATATTCCAGGGCCAAGGCTAGGTACACCCATCTACGATACCTATCCTCGTATCTCCGCCATGATCGGCTAGGGTATACGTCTCATTTCGTTAAGTGCTCGCTCTCCGGGGAGAACACGCCATATCAGCCTACCGTCAGCCGTAGCCGGTGAGGTTCCTAATGCAGACAAAACGCCTCGACTTGCCTTGCACACCCTTGGGACCTTCCATGCCGGATTGGCAACTACAGTCTATTGACTTGGACAACAGTAAGGCTGGCTTCTCCCCCTGTTTTTATGAACGTACACTAATATGGTTCAAATTGACCATAGGTACTACATAAACATGTATGAAAATCAGCTTTAGAAGTGTCGAATAAGAAATATCGCACTACTGGCTGAGTTGATGCGGCCTAGCGAAGCATATCTGTCTCCCTCGCCTTCTTTACACAAAGAGTGAACTACATCAGTGATCACTCATATGCCGCTTCCGGATGCCACTGAAGCAGCTAAACATGTTTATGTGACTTGATTCTAATGATTATATCAACTATCGCTTGAAGTTTGACCTAATTAATGATCACCCCAAATATCGCAGCTATTACAAGTTGAGCTAGCACTGTTAAGTGTATTGTCTTCTCATCATAGATTACAACACACTCCGGTCTTACGGAGTTCGATACCGAGTGTACATATATTTGAGGAAATTAAGGCGCTGCCTTTAGTCGAAATGCATAACTTCTCTGCATTCTGCGTTGGATAAATCTCAAGAGCGCGGACCAAGCATTAAATCGCAGATCGTTCTTGCATTGCCTAGCCTGTTGCTGATAGACACCACTCTCCCGACTTAAATTATTAATACTTTCCAGGTCCCATAGATCCTCTTTTCAAGACTATTTATATAGACATAAGAATATTAGGACGGTAAAGATATGGCATCTGTCTCAGTATCTGACACAGGGCAATTAAACTGCTGAGATACATGAAAGTCGTCATATTATAAGCTCAGACACTTAGCTCTAAGAGCACTTTTAAATAACGACACAAAAATCTAATGATTTGCATTCTAACTATCTACATGTATTGACCCTGCATTGCATTACAAACCTCACTGCGGGACCCTCGCCGACACACTCCGCCAAAAGTCACAACGGTCACCACGCGCCCCTTCCCAAGCAAAAGAGTTGGCCAGGCTGAAATTGTTCACGACGCCGGGGCCCGACCGGACATAGTAGGCCAGGGTATCGGCGACGGTGACGAGGCTGATCTGGCCCCCGGTGGTGTTGAGGTTCATGTGGACGGGGTTGTCGCGCGTGAAGCGGGGCCAGTCGATGACGGAGGCGTTGCCGAGGACGGGGACCGAGGCGTTGGCGTACGGGCCCATGGCGTCGGCCACGGGGATGACGGGGTCGTCGCGGATGATGAAGCTGCCCCAGATCTTCTGCATGGCGTGGCGGAAGTCCGGCGAGGGCGTGGCTGCGCCCACCGAGAAGTACGAGCGCAGGTCCGCGCCGTGGTACGACGGCGTCACCGAGTACTGGTACCGCCAGGCGCTCCGGCACCCCGAGCTGAAGGCCTCGGCGATCCACTGCGCCGGGCAGTCGAAGACCGTCTCCGCCGCCAGGTTGAACACCGACTGCTGGATCCCCGTGGCTATGCCCGATTGCGTCAACGCCGTCGGCCCCGTGTAGCCGAGCGTGTCGAAGACGACGCCGCTGGCCGGCGGCGCCTCGTCCGGGATCTTGTAGATCTCGTTGAGGCTGCTGATGTCCTTCGGCGTGAACAGGGGAAACGTCTCGGCGATGAAGGCATCGTATTGTGCCCGCGTGGAGACGTTGGGGTTGAATAGGGGAGCCCCGTCATTTGCATTGTTCTATTGCAGTGTGTAAGTGGATGATGTCATCGGACTAGTACATTGCTAGTACATTGCTAGTACATTGTTCTAAAATACTCACGCCAACAAGAACACGCTTTCCACCTAGCTTCGCGCTAAACAGCTGCGAGGCGGGCCGTTCCTGGATATAGTCGTCGTCGATTACGGGAAGGAAAGCGAAACTCCCGAAATATCCCACCGTTGTCGAGGTAGTCCCGCTGGCATTCTGCAGCACCTCGGTGTCAGCGGCGACGAGACAGTCAAACGTTGTCTGGTTCGCGACCGGGTTGCTACAGCCGGCAAGCTCAACGAACTTGTCGTATCGGGTCTTGGGAAATGAGTCAGAGTATCTGTAGACCGTTGGGAAGTACGGGCTAGCAGCGATGACCTAGGAATGACTTAGTAAAGGTGTTCATGATTTGATATGATTTTTTAGTGAGCGAGCATACGTTCTCGAAGAGCCCCTTGTCTTTCCCACCGTGGGCCATGGCGTGGAAGAGAACCGACGCTGCACCGGAGGATTCGCCCCCAATAGTGATGCGATTCGGGTCACCGCCGAACTTGGCTATGTGCTCACGGGTCCATTCAATGGCAAACCGCTGGTCAAGCAGGCCGGTGTTAAGGCGGCCATATTTTTTGACATCTGGCGACGCAAGAAAGCCGAATGCTCCCAGTCTGTACTGGATCTCGACAGCGACGAAGCCATTATCATTGGTGTTCATCCATGCGCTGGGGTCATATTCCGCTCCGAAGACCGAATGCCCACCGCCATCTTAGTAAGGCATACAATTAGTCAAAAGAAGTCAAAACACGCATAAGGTAGACACGATGGAAGGGAATTCGTACGAATCCATACCAGAACCGGCAGATCAGTCGCATTAGGCGCGGCGTAAACATTGAGATAGAGACAGTCTTCATTCCCAAGACCGGAGTTAAAGCCATATGCCTTGGGCACGCCAAAGGCACCAGTCTGAGGACACAAAGGGGGTTGTTCTACCGCTGGAATTATGCCAGAGCTATCATTCAGGGGAGGCTCAGGAGCCTGCCATCGGCGATGCCCCGTGGGTGGTGCAGCATAGCGGATACTATAGAGGGGCTAGCAATTAACATGGAGATCAGCGTCGATAGTTTGGAACTGTGGCGCTGGGAAGGCAGGCTGGGATGATTTATAGGGGCTGGGCATATGCAAGTAGCCATGCCTTGTCCGGCAGTTAGTGGGAAAAAAGTTGAGACAGCGCCCATACCTTTTCCAGATGTTAAGATCGTAAGTCCCGTTATAGTAGCCCTCGTAAGTTGCGTATCCGAGACTGACGACGAGGCCAGAAACAGAGAGTGGGAGTTCGGCGTTACCCCCAGCCGCCGCGCAAGCCACGGTCACCACCACCAGCCAGGTGAGTCGGCTCAAGGCCCCTCTGCTCTCCATGATTCCGAGGGTCGTGTCGAAAAAGGGCAGGATTTGCTCTGGCAGCCAAGGCAGGCGAGTTAATTTGAACTACCTCGCGACGGGTCCTAGAATGCGACGGTAGGGAGCAAGCCTGGACAGAACCGTGCGCCGGGGGGGTCGGTCGCGCACGGATAGCAGAGCGGCCTTTCTTCTCGTGCGAGGGAGAGGGAGAGGTGTCTCAACGCGATCGCCGCTGTCTGTGGTGACACCAATGAGAACGGACCAGGAGAGACTGTTGTCTGGTTAGAGGGTGGGTTACAGACGGTTACAGACCAACAGAATCGGAACGGTCGGGGAAACAAACATTGTACTGGTCCTCGTCGTCTGGAAGGGTGTTATTGCTGGGGGCTGGCACATGCAAGACAGCCAGGGTTCTCCCTTTTCAGCTCCTGTTCAATACCACCTTGCGAGAACACCATGACACTATATAATGCGATGCCATAATCTCTGGTTTCAACAGCGAAAAGGCTTAGAGGTAGAGGTTTCCGCTGACACGTTCTTCTGTCCATATGCGCATAAGGTACCACATATAAGGTAACACGCCTCTCTACCGCGGCCTATCGATTTGAGAGCAATTGTCTTACACATATCAGTACATGTTCCATGCATCTTTAGTGTGCAGAGGTACAACGGCTTTGCTATTAGGAAAGAAGGTTGCAGCGTCTTACCTAAATTAAATGCCGTGTCTTATTCGTCCCTCGCTTTCCAGCGCAGTCTTGGGTTGCTGTCCTATATTACTGTAGGGTGGCAATTGGAAGTTCAAATACAGTACCTACCCCAACCTTTGCACACAGCAGACCAAGAGACTGCGACGCCGGGAATAGCAACGATAGTCGAGCGATTATAGGTACGTAAGTATGATCAGCGTGTCGGGCGCATGAGCAACTCTGGTGGTAAGAGTTGAGCATAAGGTCGGTAGGTGCTCTGTATGTATTTTCTCATGTAATCGGCGCCATAGTACCCATCCATGTCTTACACCAACCAAAGCAAGCTATCATTTATCTTATTTACACCCACACTAGTCGTAGCAAGTGCCGACATAAGACGGGTACCTATTCCTCCTCACGCGGCATTGTGGGGTCTAGAAGAGTTCGAGAGCTTTCCGCATATTGTATTGCAGCGCGTGGTAGGCGACCAACGAGGACGGAGATTGGGTGCCATCACATGCAGAGGTAAGCGAGCCTTGGTAGGTCTCGAAAAGGGCCGTAGTATGTATAGGCTGGGTGAATGGGGTGCCTCGCCGATCGGCCGTGTCACTCTGCCACCCTTCAGCTGCTAAGGGACGAAAACTGAGAGAAACATACCAGCGAGCCGGAGAGACCTGGCGCTGTCAACATGCCCCCCTTTCTACTCTCCGCATAAAACCAACTTCAGTTCCAATCGAGTCTGACAAGCGTTGAAAGTGCTTCCTCGC